AGCTCATTTTTATAAAATAGGAACATATTCTCTGATATGAATGGGCCTTAATTTATTCACCTGCTTGCCAACAGATGCATTGAAATTGTTTTTAATTTTTTTTAATATCATTGCTACAGTAAATATCCTCCAACTGATGCTTTTATTTCTGCCAGGCAGATTCACAAAAGTATGGTTACAAAGGTCAGGATGATGTCTGTTTTACAATTCATTAGGTGATATGCATAACCAAAAGAGCAAAGCCATTCCCCTTCTCACCTCTGAGAACATACCTGTACCTATTTTAGCATTGGATGTTGTTCCTAAACATTTGCTGGTGTGTAAGGATGAAAATGACAGCTGTGTTAGTTTACCTTTCTTTACTATTAAAAAGGCTCAAAAATCTGCATATTTTTATTGGCCATTTGCATTCTTCTTTCATAATTTGCCTCCTCCCACTTCAGTTTTTTGAGCTATAATTGACATATAATGTGATTTGCCTTTTTAATTTCAAAATCATCCTAGTACACTTTTAGAACATTTTATATAATACCAATGTGTTGGTCCAGCCAAATTCAGTTTTGTAAGTATATTAAGGTCATTTTCTTGGTGATTTCTTCACTACCAGTATTGATTATAAAGAGTTAATTTTTTTATTTTTTAGAGCAAAATAGATTGTTTTGTTCAAATATCAACCATGGGTCCATAAATTTAATCACTGCAAATAATAAAGGATATCCTCTGAATGAAGGATAATAAAAACATACTTTTAACATACACTTTATTTATTTATTTATTTATTTATTTATTTATTTATTTATTTATAAATAAAGATTTTATTTATTCATCAGAGAGAGAGAGGCAGAGACACAAGCAGAGGGAGAAGCAGGCTCCATGCCCAGGAGCCCAATGCGGGACTTGATCCTGGGACTCCAGGATCGCGCCCTGGGCCAAAGGCAGGTGCCAAACTGCTGAGCCACCCAGGGATCCCCCCATACACATTTTTTAAACTGATTATAGAACAAAAATATTATATACTTACTAATTTGAATATATAATTTTACAGATTTTATGTAAATTTTTAACTAAGCAATATACTTTATTTCAGATATTTAATGGAACTATCATCTTACATTAGCTTCCTTTTTACATTTCTTCATATTTACTACTCATTCTCAACAGCTCATACCTTTGTGTTGTCAGGCATCATTCAACTAATGTGACCTTATGGTAAAAATCACACAATGCACATGGCTGCTCAGAGGCCTGGGAATGGTGCTGCATGAAAAACTCACTGAAGTAAAAAAAAAAAAAAAAAAGAAAGAAAAACAAAAACTCACTGAAGTGAGAAACTTGTCTAATGATGTACATAGTTATTTCATTAGATGTGATTAAAAAAATTATATGTGATAAATGCAGGTCAAAAGATGTACCTACTGTTTGGGAAGGGAGGAGCCATTGAGCAGCCAAGTTCCCTCTGTGCCTCAGAGTGTCCCTGCTTCTTGGGAGCATTCTGGCTCAAGAAAGAGACTACAGATAGCCCTCGCCCCTGTCCAGGGATATTCTACTATAGAAAGCTGGGTGGAAACCTCTCCCAAGGGTCTATTAATGTGGCTAAAACTGACTGACAGCCTAGACTTTGAAAAGACTTCCCTAAACACTGAAGGGAGTGAGCGCAGGGTCCAGGCATCTGACTTACCTGGAATGCCATCTGCTCGCTCCCCTGGGCCCGGGCCCCTCTTCTGAGCAGCACCTTCCACTCTCTAGTCCACAGTGGAGAAGTTCATAGATACCTGAGGTGTCAACCTGCTCCAGCATCAGACCTCCTGCATTCAAATTGTAGCTGTGAGTTCTTGTCCCTCTCTGACCTCAGTTGCCCTGTCTTATGTAAAATAAGGATAAAATAAGGATAATGTAGAATGCTTAGCATGGTTTCAAGTAAGTGCTTAATAAATGGTGGCTACCAGTCCTTCAGCCTTTTTTGCTCCTCTGCATCTGGCTTACCAGTCAGCCATGCTGCCCCGCACACCGCTGCCCCTGCGCAACCTCCTGGTGGTGTTCCTGTCACAGCTGTCCCTCTGAAGACCTGTCTACAATAATGGCTGCACTTCAACCTCATCTCCACACTGACTGCCCTTGGCTTCGGTCACTATCAAAACCATGTCCTAGGGGAGGTCACAAAGGGCCTGCCCAGTGGAATGCATATGGTTCCCTCCCCACATCCTCAGTCTTTCAACAGTGCTGGTCAGAACCAGGTCTTCCTTCTCTTCCTTGGTGGCATTGTTCCCTGCTTGTGTATCTCCTGCCTCCTCCATCTGCAGCTTCTCTTCTTTGGCTACCTGTTGGTACTGCTCAGGGCATAATGTGGGCCCTCTGCTCCCTACGCAGACCTCTCTCCCTTGGAGTTCTCCGCGCTCATGCCACTCCATGCTGGCTGACGTTCATTAATGTATATCTTCAGCCCAGACCTCTCCCCAGAACTTTCAACTTGAATATTCACGGATCTGTTTTATTCTTTTGGAGTGTCCTCAAACATTCTAAATTCATACATGCAAGCTGAGCTCTTAATAAATCATTCACAAATCTTATCTTTCCTCCTTGTTTGAAGTAAATAATATGTCTATCCAGCTCATTGCTTAAGAAACCTGGGGCAGCCTTGATTCCTACCTCCCCTCACCACCTTTCATCAGATTCATTGCCAGTTCCTCTTAATGTTACTGCTGAAATACATGCCAGCGACCCTTCACTCCTCCGCTGCTGCCTGGGTAATGCCAACACCGGCTCCCCTGGGCTCCTGGGCTCCCCCACCCATTCTAGGCCTGCACTTGGGTCTTCCTGCTGAAGCTCTTTGACTGTAAACCGCATCCTGGCACTCCTCTCTGTGAAGTCCTTTGAACCAGAATTATCACTGAATAGAATTCCAAAGCCTTCCTTCTGTGGTACTGCCTCATCACAAGCCACTTCACCTTCACACTCTGGGGTTTCTCTCTCCTTCTCACCTTGCTCCTCCCTGTCTCAGGACCATCACAGCTGCTAGTCCCTCTGCTGAGATGCCTTCTGGCTTCTCTTTACCTAGCTAATCCCAAGGCTTTCCAGACCACCCAAACTAGATCGGACCCTTCTGTTAATCTCTTTTACCTTCACTGCCTTTTCCCCAATTTGACATGTATATGTGTATCTCCCCCTGGGCCCTGAGTGCTAGGGGTACAGACTAGGTCTGTGTTCCCAGCTGCTTGGCCTGCACCTAGCACACTGAGTGCCACACAGGAAGTCCTCATCTTTCGTGAATGGATGACCACCAGCTCCTTGCTATCGAGTATAATAGGGGAGGTGGCATGGGAATTGGAGTCCAAGGCACCAGTGGCACAAGTGAGGACATCCATAGCCTGGCTCCTAGATGTGCCAGGTGATGCAGGTCAGGGAGCAGCACCGTGGCAGTTTTTGCCAGGTGTTGGGAGGGTGGGGGAAAGGGATCCTGCAAGACTTTCCAGAAGAGTGAGAATGTGAGATGAGAAAGGGAGGAGGGGAGGCCCTCCTGCCCTTTGTCCTGCCCTCTACCTGCTTTTTTTTTTTTAAGATTTTATTTATTTATTCATGAGAGACACACACAGAGAGAGGCAGAAACACAGGCAGAGGGAGAAGCAGGCTTCATGCAGGGAGCCTGATGTGGGTCTCGATCCCGGGACTCCAGGATCACGCCCTGGGCTGAAGGCAGGCACTAAACCGCTGAGCCACCCAGGGATCCCCCCTCTACCTGCTTTTGTGAGAGTCCTTCCAACTCTTCAGCTTTGTCTAGCTTTGTCCCTGAGCTAATCCAGGACAAAGGTCTACAGGAGTTATGCTGAGGGAGATTGTGACTCCGCCTATTCATTTCCTGCCCTGCACCCACTCTCTGGACTTCAAGCCAGCTCCTGCAGAGAAATGGCCCCAGAAGCAATAGTGAAGGGAAAGCCCTGAAGGGGCTTTTGGGTAGTTTGGGTAATAGGGAGCCTCTGTGCCTTCAGCTTTTGTTTTTCTTCATAAAGGCAACAAACATCTTTGACAGAACCTGGAAAGCACTATGCTGTCTGTGATGCCACAGGTGAAGAGGCAGGAGGCCTTGGGAAAGCTGGGCTGAAAGAAGAAAGGGAAGTCTCACCAGGCCGAGACAGGCCCCATGCTCACGGGAGGGCCACAGGCCCAGAGCCTATCGGTGCTTCAGAATTAGACAGGTGTCTTCTCACGCTACCTCCCAGAAGGGGAAGTAGAACCCCTGATTCACTGACCTGACACAGGAGGAACCTCCACATTCTCCTGTGGAAACATAGCAACACAAAATATTTGGGGCCTACAGAGTATATCATGGTAGAGATCAGCTATGTATCTATACCAGGCCATAACCACCATATATGAAATTATTACTAAAGGAAAATATTTTTTAACTTTCAAGCAACAGATTCACAAATACAGTTACTGAGTATTTATTAGATATCATACATTGTGCTCATCTCTGTACATGTATTTTTATTGTATTTGTTCCTTCTGGGAACACTTTGAGGGAGATAGGCTCACTTTACAGTTTACAGATGAGCAAACTGAGGTTTGGAGGTTTAGTAATTTTCCCAAGGTAATCAAGTTAATAGGTGGTGGCCCTGGGACTCAAACCCAGGTCTGAATCCATATTTTAAATCCTTAAATCCTTAGGATGTACTTTCAGATATAACTATTTTTCAAGTTAGGAGCTGTATAGGCCTTTTTCCATCTTGTTCCATCACTAATACTTACATCACTACTACTTGTTTTTCCTTTTTGAAAACATTTCTTCCTTTGAGTATTTCTCTAATGTCTTGAGTTGAATTGGAAGCAAATTCACATTATTTTGCAAATGGACACATGGTAAATGTTGATTGATTCTGTAAATACTACGACCATGATGAAAAGAAGATTCACAAAGTGGACTCATTCTTGCATTTTGATCTCTCTCAATCTTATTTTCTTAGTAACCCATTTCTGTTTAAAATTTTGTTTATTCTTGCTGAAAGGAAGAAGATTTTTCTCCCTACGTCAGCTGTAGTCTGCCTCTGGCTTCGGCACCTTCCCAGCCTTGAAAAAGCAACACTGCATCTGTTTGAAAAGCTAATCTCTAGTGAGAGAAATTTCCTGAGAAGGATCGAATACTTTTTGAAAGATTCATTGCTGGTACGTGCTGGGCTTTCATGAGGAGAAAAATCCTTAAAGAGGATGTCAGGTATCATCTCTTTTTGTCAAAGCTAGGGGGAGTATAAACAAGAGAGCAGTTGGCACCTTTTGAAATAATCGTTGTGTCTGCATTTTGTTATAGACCCAACATAGGGGGCTTTTCTGCATACTTGGAGCATGTCTTGAAAACAGGGAGAGGTGTGAGATTTACTGGATGGATAGGTGCCCCTTATAGTGCATACTCTCAAGAATTGATATTAAGGCAAACTGTTTTAAAACAGTATTTCTTATTTCCACATGAAAAATAAGTCTTAAAAAATAAAGACCTTACAATGAGAGGAAAAATAAAACAAGACCCTGGAAGAAAAGTTAAAACAATAAAAACAACTAAGAATTCTGTAAGTTTTCTTTTGGTGTAAGCCTTCCAGCCTTGAACCTTCCCTCCATATGGTAGCTTGCCCAGCCTTCATTGTACTTGGGACTTCTCAGGCCTGGGAATCTGGGGCTCAGTGGCCAAATGGAATAGCTTCATTGCCTAAACCAGGGTCAGTTCACAGGCAGTCCTCAGAACCTGACTGGTTGGGAGTGTTTTCCCTTCATGGGAGGCAACCCTGTGGAATTGATACGCATTTTTGTAAGAGCAGGAATAAAGACCAATGCACCCTGAAAAAACAAGTTAAAAACTACAGGAGGTGCTGTGCTCCCTGGGCATCTATCTGTTTTACGAGAACCTCAGTGGTTTCTAACGTGTTTTCTCATTAGCTTTTGTAACCTGGGGAACATAGGGTGCAGAGATTTTCTTCCTATTGTCCAGGTGGAGAAAATTAGTTCAGACATGGTGATCAGTCAGATCTTCAGTTGGGGGCTAGGAAAACTGGGCAGGAGAGAGTGTTCCCCTCCCCACTTGAGTTGAGACTTGGAGAGAGGAGAGTTCTTAGGTTAGCTGAGTTCACACAACACCCCCCTCCCAGACACCTTCTGGTTTTTAATTCATTTGGAACTTCCGGTTTTCTTTCTCTTTGAAATTGGAGGCTGAGTGACAGAATCCGAATTGAATCAGTTGCCTTCTTTCTCTGTCCTGTTGTTCTTTGAGGTGCCCACCATCTCTTGGGCATGACTGCCAGGCCTTCCCCCTTACTCCACAGGCTTCTGTTCTGGGGCCTTCCAGGCGTCTGTGGGTGGTGTTGCAGTCACCAGTAGCCATGTACCTGCAAGCTAAGTGGCACAAATTGAACCCATCTGATTTGGAAGTTTACTATGTTTGACAGGAAAAAAAGGAAGGCAAGAAGATAGGTCCAAAAGATTGAGAAAGCATGAGAGCCTGCTTCCTGGATCTCATACGCTGGGATATCTGTGCTCACTGGGGCGTTCTCAAGCTCAAGGGCCACAGGTAAAAAGGACATGGGGGATGTTCAGACAAAAACCACAGGACCAAATAAAGGCTCCAGAATCAAACCAACTCAGAAAAGTCAACATAACCGGAATTTCTCTATGGAGGGAATACCTAAAGAACACTGCACTACAGGGACTTCAGTCTCCAACTTTTATAGTTTAGTCTCCCCCAGGCTGACAGCTTCGAAGTCTATTGATCTACAAAAGTATTTATCAGGCTCATGTGTGTAGGGATTCGGAGCTTCCATTATGGTTAAAGGAGGATTCCAGAGGGTGTTATCTGGTTTAATTTATTGTGGCATTGGCAGGATGTGACCTTTCTATGCCTTATGGTTCAAGGAGGTAATTATAGTACAGAGCTGCAAGCCCCTGATTGGTGTGGGCCACGCTCCTCAGGCATCCTGGCTCTACAGTGCCAGAAAACCAGGCAGGCTGGAATATGCTTGTGACATGACTGAGTGATTACAGGGGTAACCTGAAGAACCTGCTTCCTGATTGCATCATCTGATTCATTTATCGAAGCTCGGTATCTTGGTGCAGTGACAAGGCGGTGCAGAAGTATCAGAGCGATCTCGAAGACTCAGATAGCAGTGGCCTGCTGTGTTTTCCTTCAGAAGAAACTTGATGCCTATTACATTAGAGTTGGATTCTGAGCGTGATTAAAGTGTGATGGTCTACGTAACTTATATTTTATATGGAGCATTGTTAATTATGTCTCCATCTCTTGGGACTGTCCATAAATAGCCCTGGAAATTCTATAGTTACAAAATGTTGCAAAAACAAAAGATAAAAGTGTGGTGCAGGTTTTACAAAGGGAAATGATCTCCCCAGATGTTCTTTGGCCTCTCAGGGACTTGAAAGCCTGGTATTTTATTTTATTTTATTATTTTATTTTTCCTTCTCTTTTTTATTTTCTTTCTTTTTTTTATTTAAAATTTTTATTTTAGTTTCAGGTAGTTAACATACAGTATTATATTAGTGTATAATATAGTGATTAAACACTTCCATGCATCACTCAGTGATCATCCTAAGTGTACTCTTAATCCCCATCACCTACTTCACCCACACCCATCTCCCCTCTGGTAACCAGCAGTTTGTTCTCTATAACTAAGAGTCTGTTTCTTAGTTTGTCTCTCTCTTTTTCCCTTTGCTTATGTTTTCTTTCTTAAATTCCACGTGTGAGTGACATCATATGGTATTTGTCTTTCTCTGACTGGCTTATTTTGCCTAGCATTATACTCTCTAGCTCCATCCATGTTGTTGCAAATGGCAATATTTTATTCTTTTTTAAGGCTAGATGATACTCCATTTTGTATAGATACCATATCTTTATCCTTTCATCAATTGATGGACACTTGGGTTCTTTCCATATCTTGGCTATTGTAAATAATGCTGCTATAGACGTAGGGTGCATATATCCTTTTGAATTAGTGTTCTTTTTAAAAAAAATTATTTAAGTAATCTCTATACCCACATGGGGCATGAACTCACAACCTCAAGATCAAGAGTCTCACACTCTTCCAACTGAGCCAGCCAGGTGGCCCTTGAATTAGTGTTCTGTATTCTTTGGATAAATGCCCAGTAGTGTGATTGCTGGATCATAAGATAGTTTTGTTTTTAACTTCTTGAGGAACCTGCATACTGTTTTCCACAGTGGCTGCACCAGTTTACATTCCCACCAACAGTGCACAAGGGTTTTCTTCTCCAAATCCTTGCCAACACCTGTTGTTCTTGTGTTGTTGATTTTAGCCATTATGTCATGTGTGAGGTGATATCTCATCATGGTTTTGATTTGCATTTCTCTGATAGTGACTGATGGTGAGCATATTTTCATGTGTCTGTTGGCCATCTGGATGTCTTCTTTGGAGAAATGCCTGTTCATGTCTTATGTCCATTTTTTTACTTGATTATTTGTTGTTTAGGGTGATGAGTTTTACAAGTTCTTTATTTATTTTGGATGCTGACCCTTTATTGGATATGGCAGTTGCAAATATCTTTGCCTATTGCATAGGGTTGCCTTTTAGCTTTGTTTACTGTTTATTTTGCTGTGCAGAAGCTTCCTATTTTGATGGAGTCCCAATAGTTTATTTTTGCTTTTATTTCCCTTGCCTCAGGAAACATATCTAGAAAGAAGTTTCATGTCTAGAAAGAAGTACTGCAGCCAATGTCAAGTTACTGCCTGTGTTCTTGCCTAGAATTTTTATGGTTTCAGGCCTCATGTTTAGATCTTTAACCCATTTTGAATTTATTTTTGTGTATGGTGTGAGAAAGTGGTCCAGTTTCATTCTTCTGCATGTTGCTGCCCAGTCAGTATTCCCAACACAACTTGTTAAAGAGACTATTTTTTTCCCATTGGATATTCTTTCCTGCCTTGCTGAACATTAATTGACCATATAATTATGAGTTTATTTCTGGATTTTCATTTCTGTTCCATTGTTCTTTGTGTCTGTTTTTGTGCCAATACCATAGTTTTTTTAAAATTTTTTTTTATTTATTTATGATAGTCACACAGAGAGAGAGAGAGGCAGAGACACAGGCAGAGGGAGAAGCAGGCTCCACGCACCAGGAGCCCGATGTGGGATCCGATCCCGGGTCTCCAGGATCGCGCCCCGGGCCAAAGGCAGGCGCCAAACCTCTGCGCCACCCAGGGATCCCAATACCATAGTTTTTTGATTACTACAGCTTTGTAATATAACTTGAAGTCTCGAATTGTGACGCCTCTAGCTTTACTTTGCTTTTTCAAGATTACTTTGGCTATTCAGGGTCTTTTGTAGTTCTATACAAATTTTACAATTGTTTGTTCTAGCTTTGTGAAAAATGCTGTTGGTATTTTGATAGGGATTGCATTAACTGTGTAGATTGCAAAGCCTGCTATTTTCCATTAAGATTAAGTAATAAGGCACCAATCTAATATTACCTGAATTCTAAATGCACATGAATCTTTTGGGCACGGAGGGGGACACTTGACGGGATGAGCACTGGGTGTTATTCTGTATGTTGGTAAATTGAACACCAATAAAAATTAATTTATAAAAAAAAAAAATAGAAGCGAGTTTTTAAAACCTGCTTACTTTTGAGACTCACTCTTTGGCTTCCATGGGCTGAACTGCCCCCAAGTTCATGGCTTCCTGCCGCATCTGGTGGCTCCTAAATAAATTGCAGTATTAACCTCAGTTTGTCACTTAACTCTGCAGACTGAAACTTTTTTTTTAAAGATTTTATTTATTTATTTGAGAGAGGGGGAGAGAGAGTACAAGCTGGGGGAGCTGCAGAGAGGGAGAATCAGGCTCCCCGCTGAGTAGGGAGCTTTACTCGGGCTTGATTCCCAGCACTCTGGGATTGTGATCTGAGCCGAAGGCAAGACACTTCACCAACTGAGCCAGCCAGGTGCCTGTACTCTGTAGACTAAAACTTTTCAAAGCAGATAGTCTTGTGTTTTCCTTGACAGAACACATTCTGCAAGACTGTAATTTGTAGCTTCAGACCTACCTTAAAAATTGATTTCACCAAAGCAGTGAAAGCCACTTGCTAATTATGCCTTTTTTTTTTTTTTTTTTACACACTGTTTGGTTTCCCAGGGCCAACAAATCAGAAGGATGTTATGTTTT